CCATGCAAATGTTTGATATACAATTATAAATTCAATACAGTAGAATACATAAAGAATAGAAATAACTCAAATGATTAAAGGAAAGACTGTATAGTGTTTTTTTAGAATAATAATTTTTGCAAATGACCTGTATCCAGAGGTTCACAAAGTAAATTTTCACAAATTTCCACTATTTTGCCATTTTGTACAGTATTAAAATGATTGTCAAGGAGTTTAATTTCGCAAAACATAAAAAATTCACAAAATTTGTTACATATCCTCAAAAACCCGCTATACAGTAGGATAACTTAGAATAAGTTATGACAAAAGATTTTATGAATTTCAAAAATAGCATTTACTAGAACTACCTTTATTGATAAATTATTTGTACAATTTCTTACTTTGATTGAAATTACATATATGCAGTGTCTCATAGTGCAGAGCCCAGCTACTCTAGTGGTGACCCTTTAATTGTAGTGGTAAAAGTGTCAATGAGTGCTCATGCAATTTAATCATGCCTCCAGGAATGATATATCATAGGTATTGTAGCTGCTTACTAAAATTAATATTCATATAAAAACTCATGCATGCAATGTATCATTATAAGCACAGGTGAACACAATGTACTACTAAGTAAAGCAAGACCACACTCAAAACCCTAGCATACCCTATACCCACATCCCTTCCCTTATAAAAAATCCCAGAAAGATCTTATAAAATGTTTCATGATTTCACAAGACAATACAAGATAGTAAGTAATCTTGTACCATCTTGTCACAGAAATTCTTACAAATTCTAGTTTTAAGATTTCAGTCATAAGATTTGAACAAGCAGTCAGATCTTCTGAGATCTAACATGACTAGCTATGATTCTTCTAAGAATTTCAAAGATCTTATGAATAACGGAATATGTCAGAAAGTGTCAGATCACACCTAATTTAAATCTTGAAATATCACTGATTGTGAAGTTAGTATGAACTAAGATAATCTTGTTAGCTTAAATCTCATAAGGTCTTACAAAATCTCATAAGTTTTTAATTATAAAAAATCTTTTATGATCAAAATGATACTGTAGATCACACATTACAACATCTTGAGTCGTACAAGATCTTTAAAAATTTTTTAAATATTGTAACATCACAGGAGGTAGTTGACAACCCACAATTGCCTTTAATCACTTTCAATAAAAAAATTAATGAAGTTTGCTTAGATCTTACTGTTGCATTCATTTAATTTCTTAGAGCATTGTATGCTAAAATACCATGCAAAAACTTAACAAATTAAAAGGTTTTATAGCAAGATGTCATCATATTTTTCATGATCTTTGTTCTAAATTCAGGTAAGAGTTTACTGTGATCTAATTAAAAATTATTGCTGGAACACAGATAATTTTTAGTGCTATTATCATACAAGATTAAGCATTATTCTTGTTTGAAATACCAAGATGATCTTGCATAAAAACGTCAACCAGAATCTTGAAA